TTTGGGTTTAGTTAGTGCTTTAGGAATTTAGGACCGGGGTTCAGGGTTGAGGGGTCAGGGTTTAGGGCGTTGGGTTCTTTCGGTTTGGAGATGGCGTTGTGGCTGATAGCAGGCTAACTCTGGAAACGAGGGGAACAGCCTTTGTGGGAAACAACAGCAGTGCAAAAGGCCAAACCATTCCAAGCCGAAATGCAAAACACCATCAACAAGCAAGCCGAAAAGCAAACGCAGCCAAGCACGTGCACGAACAACGGATCAGAAAAGGAAAACATATGCAAATTAACAGACGTGAACATCGAAATGAAAAGCAATATCTTTAAACAACGGCGAACAAGTAGGAACAAAGCAAATCCAGCGACAAGGCACCAACAAAAGACCACTAAAGTGTAGAGATAAACATTAAGGCAAGATAAACACTTGGAGCCTGACATCCAACAACGGAAAAGCATGATCAAAATCAGGTTCAGGCATCCAACTCTCTTGTTCGATACCATACTTACCGGATTCGCGTGTTTCTGTCCGGCGATGTTCGAGCTTTCTAGCACCTTATGTTGCTTTCCATTGTTTTCCATGTTGTCCGTTTGTGTTCGCTTGTGTTCCTGTTGTCGGTTGGCCCTATTCCTAGTTTGCTTCCTCGCTTCTGTTTGGGAAGGGAAACAGGCACTTCCAGCCTTTGGGAGGCTTGGGGACCTGGTCATGGCAACAACATCACAAACTGATGCAGGCAAGAACCTTTTTGCATACACTACAAGATACCATAAGACGCGATAAGACACTATGATCTACTAAACTGATACCCTAATATAACTTCGTCAGATGAAGCTTGGTGTTTCAGGAACTTCAGATTTGAAGGAATAGGACGTTGAGGTACACATTACGAGACTTGGGATGGGAATCGAATCATATTGCCAACCGCTGACAACGATTATAGCTCCCAAAAAGAAGTCCTCCTGATTCTCAAAAGTCACCGAAGCACCCAAGACCCTCGAAAGGAATTTCCAAAAGATTCGCAGACCGCCCAGGTAATCCACTGGACTAGTAGTAACTCTTCGAGAGTTCCGTGGAAGCCTATGCCCCTTATGGAAGCCGTAACCCTAAATCCTACGAACCCGAACGTCCTTTTGGAGAAGTGAAGCCGGTCGACGCCTCCAGCCATAACCAGTTTACCATTCTCGATTGAAATCTCGATGAAATCTTCCTGCGGACGGCAAGTTCGGGACTTCCGGCGCGATGCTTGGGGGTATTAGTGTTATATTATAGTTGTGTATGGTATTATATTATTGCTGTAGTATAGTATATCATCGAGAGTTATCGCAAACAGAAACCCGAAAGCATGGACTTTTACATGCAATGTTCTACGAGCACCCCACTCTCTGGTCTTTAGACTCTCGGATCCTTTGTTGCGGGTGATCTGAAGGACTCAGAGGTACGGGCGATCTTAGTCCTTGGCTACATGCTTCACAAGGCAACTACTAAACACATGATTCAAGTCCTAGGCAATCTTGGCACGCTTTTCACGATTGGAGTTCCATGTGGCTCTCTGCTTCATAATGCATGATAAAAACACTCCCTTCCCTTCGATCTGCTACCTGGTACCGAGTTGTTCGACACCACTCTCTCTCCGACTACCGCCTGCAATGTTGATTTCATGAAGCAACAAACCGATTTAGAGGTTTGGGAGTTGCGTTTCAGGGTTCAGGTGCCAAAGGCTCTCCTGTGATTCGGCAACGAAGTCGTTGATCGTGAAGGACCGTAGCCACGGAGCAGTATCATCTGGCCCTGGAGATCAGGGACATCAGGCTCGGGCGCGCTCCCCTTCCCCGTTTCGACACACGTGCTGCCAAGCAACACATCCCCATCGCTATCATCATCATCATCATCATCCTCCTCATCCTCATCCTCATCCTCATCCTCATCCTCATCCTCATCCTCATCCTCATCCTCATCCTCATCCTCATCCTCATCCTCATCCTCATCCTCATCATCATTATCATCATCGTCACCGTCACCGACACAGTCACCATCACCATCGCAGCAGTGGTGCTAAAGACGTGCAACGAAGGCAAAACCCGAAGCACTATAACCCTGTGCTGTAAACAGTGAAGGTACCGAACAAGTGAGATCTCTCTCCTGAAAGAACAGCGCACCCGGCCTGCATGTAGCTGCCAACCTCCTTGGATCACCATCAAGAGGGCCTCGTGAGGCTTACAGCTTTCGGGTTTAGGGCGTAGGATGGTCTGAGGCTTACTGTAAATACTATTGTAAATAGTTTCCATGATTAAACAGGCCATTATCGGGACTGGGTTCAGGATTTGGGCTTTAAGGACAGGCTTGAAACCTTCATATGCTTGGGTTCGCATCGCATGGCTTTGGCAGGGTGTAGTGGCAGACGCTTCCGGGTAAGGGTCTAGGGTTACGACACGTAGTCTATGCGGCAATCTCCGGGTCTGCCGCATGCCTGGTTTGATGGCCAGTGCTTTGGAAGAGACGGCAGAAAACCCTCAGCCAGAAATCCCGAACACCCTGGTAACACCCTTACCAAACACCCTACAAGTCGAAAACCCGTGAAAGCTGCCTGATCATCCTTTAAGCCCTTACGAGTAACCTGAAAGCCTAAGACCCAACACCACACATGAAACAACCCCAAAACCCGGCAACCCCATCCAGGTGAAGCTGGCGCTTTCTTGCCCTGCCTGGGCGTGGGACAGCACCTCGCTGACCTCGAGGCGTTTTAGAGTATCAGGGCGTGGGGGGTAAGGCTTTTGGAGGATGGTTTAAGGTTTTGGGTTTCAAGGTTCATGCGGAAAAACAGCAAGGCTGTATACAGGTGTTGATAGTCTTCACTAGGCTCAATTTGAAGGATTTGGGCTCTGGGTGTTGATTCCTCTTGTCCGGCCTAAGAGCCAGCATGTCACACTGTGAAGTCGACCCATGGGGCGGTGCACGGGAATGGTAATCATGGCCCGCATACACGGATTCGCATGTCCGTATATATACATATACATACGCATACACCTCTCTCTGCCTCTCTCTCTCTCTATATATATATATATGTATATACATACACTATATGCAGAGAGACAGAGAGAGAGAGAGAGAGAGAGAGCGAGCGAGAGAGAGAGAGAGAGACAGAGTGGGAGAGAGGGAGAAAGAGAGAGAGAGAGAGAGAGAGAGAGAGAGAGCGAGAGCGAGCGAGGGCGGGAGGGCGGGAGGGCGGGAGAGAGTGAGAGAGGGAGAGAGCTATCCAGAGGAGTCGAGGGTGACAGAGTTCCGAGAAGATTCCAGCCATATTTCGGGTCTACACTTGCAACGTCCGACCGGCCTCGTTCTCCATATCTGGATCGGGACCTGTCCAGAGAGAGGGGTCCGGGCTGGGTCCATCCGAGCAAACCCTGCATTGCAAAGTCCGGTAAGAGCGGTAAGAAACCAAAAGACAGAAGCTGAATCCATATAACTGCTCCTCGGAGCCTGTAAGCAGAACTAGCCAGAGCAGAATCGGCAGCAGAAGCAGCAAGCAGCCGTTGTAGCGGTAGCGGCAAGGGTAGCAGTATCTGTAGCCATGGCCGTGGCTGTCACGGTAACACTGGCACCAGCTCACTTGCAGTAGCACTAGAAGTAGTAGTAGTAGTAGTAGTAGTAGTAGTAGTAGTAGTGGTGGTAGTAGTAGTGGCAGTAGTAGTAGTAGTAGTAGTAGTAGAAGAAGTAGTAGTAGTAGTAGTAGTAGTAGTAGTACTAGTACTAGTACTAGTACTAGTAGTAGTACTAGTAGTAGTAGTAGTAAGATCGGAA